CTGTGGCATGCTGAGGCTGCCCCCGCCCCTCCGTCCTTGCCCTGACTCCTCACCTTCTCTCTGTGGAAAAGGAAGAGCTGAGCAAGCGTGGGAGAGGCAGTGGAGACACCCCAGCACCAAGCTGTGTCTCCTGGAGGTGATCAGGGAGACTGACAGAGAACGGAAAGGAGAAAAACCGTGTTATTCTGTGAGTCCAGGCTATTTTATAAAATTGTCTCACTTTGGGAAGCTGGACCAGTGGGATCAGACTCAGAGTCAAGAGACGTGGTTCAGGTTCTGGCTTCACTGCAACTTTACTGTGTGACTTTGGATAAGACCATTGCTGTCTCTGGGTCTCCTCATCTGTTAAAAGAAGGCAGATGATACCCACGGCCTGGGTTTTTGGGAGAAGTCTCAGAATCACTGCTCAAACCCTGGGGTGAGTGGAGTAAAGATGGGACGGGGGGCACTCTGCCAAGTTAAGGGTTACACCCCAAGTGCATCAATAATCTGGTGGCAGTTGGGAAGCCAATGTTAGAAAAGGCTAGACTTTAGGCCTCCAGAACCTAGTTATTGCAGCTCCCTGTGACTGCCCCCAGCTCAGAGATTTCCTCCCCTACAGATAAGGGGTGGGCCCCCTGACACTGTAGGGGTGAGACCTTGCCCAGGCGAGGGTCTCCTTGGAGAGGAGAGTCCACCCTCACTAGGAGGTCTAAGGTCAGGGTTTTGACAGCTTCCTAATGTGTTCAGGTGTGGAAAACCACCTACAGTATTGGGGGCCAGGCCGTGAGTGGGCTCAGGGCCACTGCAGGTCATGGAGGGCCCAAATGGGGCATTTCCAGGGGCCTCGGTCTACCTTGTGGGCAGAGACAGAAGCCAGCATGACTTTCTTGCAGACCTGCAGATTCTGCAATTCCACAGAGTTTGCATTATTAGCTCTCTGGCAGCCTAGCACATAACAGGTTCTTAATAACTGGAATTCATGGTAAATTTAATTAAAGACATCAGGGCAGGCTGAAGAGCATTGTGCTTAGATTCAAGTCCCAGCTCTGCCTCCAGGGCAAGTCACATACTCTCTCTGAGCCTCAGTTTCCTCACCTACAAAATGGTTCACAGTCCCTGCCATGAGGGCTATTGGAAGGAGTCCGTGAGATAACATGGGGAATGTTAGCTCACATGGTGCTCAATATGGCGCCTGGTGCATAGCATGCGCCCGGCGAGTGGTGGACATTGTCCATATTAGCCGCTAGCAGTCATCTGGCCAACCCATGTGAAAACCAGGGCACAGGGCCAGCCCCAGTGGACTAGTGGTTAAGTTCGGTATGCTCCCCTTTGGTGGCTCAGGTTTGGTTCCCAGGCACAGACCTACACCAGGCATCTATCGGTGGCCATGCTGTGATGGCAGCTCACACACAAAATAGAGGAAGATTGGCAACAGATGTTAGCTCAGGGCGAATCTTCTTCAGCATGAAAAAAGAAAAACTGGGGCACAAACTGGACGGAGACTTTGAGTTCACAAAGCTAATTATTGGAAGAGCTGGAATTAGAAACCCCAGGGCTTCTCCAGCTTCAACTGCCCCAGTGGACAAAATTGCTCATTCAACATTCATTCTACTAATAAATCCAGATCTCTCTCAGAAATGAAAGTCATTTCTTTATTTGCAGATAAGACTATTTGCAAACTCTTTTGGTACATGCCTGTTTATCCAGGCCACCAAACTCCTGGCCAGCTGTTCAGTCCCAGGACAGTAAGTTGGGAAAGCCTCTGAGGGCAACGCAACGGTCTAATCCTGCACTGGAAGTTCCACCCGGGGAGGGGACAGGACTCACTGGGCTACTTGCTTCTGAGGTCATCTGGGGATTTTCCATCCATTAGTTGGTGTGACCCTGAGTGATCTCTGCCCCTCAGCCTACCTGGTCCTAGATTCTGGCCCCCATCTAATTGAAAAGACAGAAGTCTCCGTGAACTTTTCTCTCAGGAGGCACTGGGTTTGGGTGCAGAGCCCAGAGAGAGCACCGATGTCTGTGACTCAGCTGGTCCAAGCTGACTCCTGCAGTCCTGTGTGCACTTCAGGAAGCACAGAGCTGAGGCCAACAATGGAGCAGGCAGGGGCTGCAGGGATCCCAGGCTCCCTGCAGGGTCCTCCCCTGACCTCCCCAGTCTCAGGCTCCTTTGTAAACGGTACGAGCCAACATGGTTTGGGGCCCTGCTTGAGCGCTTCCAAGTGCCATCCCATTTAAGCCCCTGACAAACCTAGGAAGTGGGAACTACTCTTATCCCCATTTTACCCTTGAGCAATCCGAGGCACAGGAATATTAAGCAACTTGCTACGTTACTAGTAAGTAGCAGAGTTAGACTGTGGGCCCAGCCAGCTGGACTTCAGAGCCATTCATTCATTCAGTAAACGTGTCCTGCATATCTCTCATGTGTAGGACGTGTTGTAGGCACTTCAGGTGTGTCAGTGAACAAAAGCAATGATCCCTTATAGGATCATGGTGCTTGAATTCTAGCAAGGGGAGACAGCACATAAGCTTTACAGAGAAGTAAATTATTTAGTTTGTTAGAAGGTGTTAAATGCTGTGAAAAAAAGAAAACATAGAGCAAGTTATGGGGGTCAGGAGTCCTGTGGGTTTGAGAGCTGTGTTGAAATTTTAAATAGGGTGATCATGGAGACAGTAAGATTTGAGCAAAGATTCAGAAGCGAAGAAAGAAGGGAGTGAGCCATGTGGATACATGGGGGAGGAGCATCAGAGGCGGGGGGACACCTACAAAATAACTTTAGGTTGTGAGAATTAACAAGGGGTCAGAGGGGAATAAAGGTGAGGGTGAGAGGGACCCTCTGGAGGGACACACCTGTATGAAATGTTCTTCGGAGGTCGGAGAAGCTGAAAACCGAAGGATGAGGAGCCCAGCCATGTGCAGAATGGGGGGTCAGGTGTTTCAGAAGGATGTTGTGGCTTTCAGACCCTCAGTATCCTGGCCACCCTCCAGTGTGTGTGTGTGGTGGGGGGGATGGTTAGGGTTCTCCAGAGAAACAGAACCAACAGAACCAACAGTATATATATATATACTAATCTTGATATGAGATATATATAGTATATGTAATAAACATATATAAACATAGATAGATAGGTAATTATAGGAATTGGCTCACTCACACAATTATGGAGGCTGAGAAGTCCCACCACCTGCCGTCTGCAGGCTGGAGACCCAGGGAAGCGGTGGTGTAACTCAGTCTGAGTCCAGAGCCCAGGAACCAGGAGCACCAATGCCCAACGGCAGGAGGAGATGGAGGTCTCAGCTCAGGCAGAGAGAATTTGCCTGTCCTCTGCCTTTTTGTTCTATTCTTGCTTCAAGAGATCGGATGATGTCACCCACATGGGTCAGGGAGATCGTCTTTCCTCAGTCTACCAATGCAAATGCTAATCTCTTCTGGAAACATCCTTACAGACACACCCAGAAATAATGTCTTACCAGCTATCTGGGCATCCCTTGGCCCAGTCGAGTTGACACACCGAATTACCTATGGGGCGGGGGAAGATTGCTCTCCCAGCTGGGAAGCCTCAACCCCAAGGCACACTAAGAGGCCTGAGGGGCGTGGAGGGAGGCAGCTTTGGCCGAGTGTGTTGACAGGCACTCTTCATCTGGCCCTGAAAATCCCAGATATTGAAGCCTTGACGCTAGGGGCAGTTCAGGCCCAGGCCAGAGGAGTCTGAGGCCAGAGTGCCCATAGGCAAAATGAAAATGAACAAGAAATAAACAGTGGCTAAGGAGTTGGGGAGCTCTGAGATCTGAAATTGCGTAAAGCCAATGTTGAGAACCAACTTGGACTTCACGTTTAAACACCTTGAGAAATTAGATATCATCTCCTCCTCGACTCTTCTCTTTTTTTCTCTTCCTTCAACTTTACTGAAACATACACTCGTGGACCAACACGCGTGGATCCTGCAAGAGCCTGGAGAAATCAGCCAGCTCAACCCTTCAGTGGGGGCCATTTGGGGGCTCCCAGGGCAGTTAATATTTTGGGGTGGAGGTTCAACCAACATTTTAAAGTGCTTGTGCAGCTCACATTTAGAAGAGAGGCCCGGCTCTGCACGGCGGGGGGGGGGGGGGGGGGGGGGGGGCGGGGCGGCGCCTGGGGCGGTGCTGTCTCTCCTCCCGAGGCTCACACTCCCCCACTCACCAAGACCAAAGTCTAGAGGCTCACCGGGCCTGCCTTCCTGGGGAGGCAGCCTTGGAATCCCCTCCAAAGAGGGAGGGATGCAGGTCCCAAGGGGGGATGTCTTTAAAAGAAGTGGACGTTGGGGTGTGAGAAGTGATAGGAGCCCACTGGGAGAGCTTGTTAAGGAAATTCCTCTCTCGGGGAGGCAATGGGTGTTCCAACCAAATGCTGGATGCTAACCCCTCTGACCATCACCTTCAGATATTTTACTGCAGGTATCCTGGGAAAACTTTCTCTCTTCTTCTCTGTCTCTAGGTAAGCCTTGTCCCTATAAAACCCATTGCAACTGCGTAAAAAGTGCAAGCAGGAAAAGTAAGTGAGGCCTCCCGGTGGGAGTCACCATGTGACTGCCCTGTCTGAAGGGCACCATTAGCAATCCTTTCTTCTACTTCTAGAGCCCTTGGCCAGCTGTCTACTGCTTTTCCTTCGTGCCTCTGTTTCCTAGGGACGAAGTGTCTGCATTTGCAGGGAGGGGGCAGTGAGGCTCATAGGAAGAACGTGAATTGTTCTGTGGCCAGCTTCTGGCGGGTGCCTCCTGGCCACATCACTCCGGTCTGTGCCTCCGCGGTCACATCTCCTGCTCCTCTTCTGTCTCTTATCTCTGTCTCTTATAAGGACACTTGTCATTGGATTTAGGTCCCATCTGGATAATCCAGGATGATCTCATCTCAAAATCCTTAATTTAGTTACATCTGCACAGACCCTTTTTCCAAATAAGGTAAGAGTCACGGGTTCTAGGATTGGACATGCATTTCTTTCCGGGGCCATTTTTCAGCCTTCCACAGGCACAAGGGACTCTCAAAAACTCTGCAGAAGGAACAAGTTAAAGAAGAGTTGCTTTCTTCTGAAGCTGGGTCGCAGCCCCTTAACACCGCCACCCCCCCCACCCCACCTCCCCAGCCCCCCCACCCCCCACCCCCCAACACCCCCTCCCTCCCCCCGCACCCCCCATATCCCACTAGCCAACCAGCCCTGTCCTTTAGGGCTCCCAGAGCAGCCCCTCCCAAAGCCAGTCTGCAAGGTCCTTCCAGAGGTGCTGTGACTTTCTTCCCATTTGACAGATGAGGGGATGAGTCCCAGAGCACCAGGGTGGTCAGCACCCGATTTGGCCGAATCTGGCGCACCGGAGAATCCTAGAATAAGGGGCAATGAGCGGCAGGGAAGGACTGGGAAATATACAAAGCCCCTTTCTCTCCCTCCACTTTCATAGGGGAGAAGTGAGAGCTTTTCTCCCTGAGGCGACTGCAGCTCCGGCGGGGGGGCGGGAGGGACACAGACGGACACGCGTCTCCAGCCCTGCACACGGCAGCACGCACACAGGCGAGCGGATAGTGTGCTCCCCTGTGCACACGGTGGGAAGTGGGGTGGCTGCGGGCGCACGGCTGTGCACCCGCCAGCGGGGGGGGGCGGGGGGAGCGCCCCCCGGCCGTGCACACGGCAGGGAAGGGGGGAACCGCTGCCGCAATGCGCGCCTCCACCAGGCCAGTGCGCCCAGATGGAGAGAGGGGGCGCCGTGCGGCGAGCGGGCTGTGCCTGCGCGCCCCCGCCTGGGGCTATAAAAGCCTCGCCACCTGCTGCCTCTAGTGCGTCCAGTTGCCGGAGAAGCCAATTCACCTCTTCCAGCGGCGACTCCTCTCGACATGGACCCTGAGACCTGCCCCTGCCCGACTGGTGAGCCCCCGCCCCCATCCTGCGGCACAGCGCGTCCCTTTACTTAGAAAGAATTTTGTGCCCTACGCCATCGCCATCGCTCAAGGACATTGAGGGAAAGAACTCTTATTTCCCATTTTTAACCTCGTGAAGGGAGGGCATGGCTGTATCCCAAAGGGCGCGGAGATTTGCATCCCCCTCCTCCTTTTCGGCCTGGGACCTAAATGGCTTACCACATTAACCCTTCCTGCGGCGTCTCCCTCTCTAGGTGGTTCCTGCACCTGCTCTGGCTCCTGCAAGTGCGAGGGATGCAAATGCACCTCCTGCAAGAAGAGTGAGTGTGGGGACCCCGCTCTGCTCCCCATCACCGACTGTCCACACAATGGGGAGACACCCGTAGGGCCCCTATTCCATTGCTTCTGCTTCTTACTGGGACAGAACCACCTGGGGAGGCCTTAAGACACAGTCACCCAGGCCCCACCCCAGTGATTAATACAGTAGGCCTGGGCCAAGATGTTTTTGTAAATTTCCGGAAGATTCTAATGGGCAGCTGGGACTGAGAACTGCTACCCTGGTCCAGCCCCTCCCCTCCAAACCTCCAGTGCCTGGGGAAGCCATTAGTGAGGCTAGGGGTTAGCTCTGGCGTGGCTTCCCTTGGCCCCTCCCAGGCCTTCGTGGGTCCCCTCAATTTGACCTCCCCCAGATGGCCGGGGAAGCAGTGTAATATGCCTGGGGAGTGGGGGATGGGAGGAAGGCTCCCTTCTTCCCTGGAGTGTAAGACTAGGCACGGATTCTCCCATCGATCTCCTGGACCCTCTGTCCTGTACCGTCTCTGCTCCTCCAAGTTTATCCTTCAAGGCCCTTTTCAAGGCCATTTACCCTGTGATGCTTTCTCCTTAAGCCCAGCACTACCCCAGCGTGGACCTAACCCCACTGTCCCCGGGACTCCCCTGCACTCACCGGGGGGGCTGTGGGCTAGTTACTGGGGACCCCTCTCCCGTGGTCGCCCAGCATGCAGCTGACACACCAGAGATGCTGAGTCAGACCAGGTGTGAGACTAGGATGGGGCCAGTGACCGGCCTCAGCACCCCTCCTCTTCCCCCTCCTTTCTGTTGGGGACAAATGCGGGGGAGGCATCAGACTGGGCACCCCCTATTTCATCTGCAGGCTGCTGTTCCTGCTGCCCAGCGGAGTGTGAGAAATGTGCCAAGGATTGCGTGTGCAAAGGTGGAGAGGGGGCCGAGGCGGAGGCGGAGAAGTGCAGCTGCTGCCAATGAGGACGTGCTCTCCGTGTGACGTGTGTAAATAGTGCTGAGTGGCCCCGGGCAACCTCTCCCCGGGGTGAGGCTTGGCTGTGTGTCCCCTTCCCCTGCTAGCAGCTGGCAAGTGACAATAAATCCTATGAATGGCATAAGCCAAGGACTGGTCTCTTCTTAAAGGGGCAGGACGTGGTGGGTAGGCAGTGCCTCCTGAGGGAACCACGCAGTTGAGAAGTGAAATCCTGACACTTGGCCACTGGTCTCTTGGGGGCTGGGAGGGAGCTCTGGGGTGGAGTGCATCCTCCCCTCACGTTCAGAGGGCACTTGGTCCTCCTGCTAGGTCAAGCTCAACTTGGGGAAAGAGGGGAGACCAGACCCATAGAAGTTTGTCCCTTTCTCCTACCTCTCAACCTCTCTTTCTCCACCTGTACAATGGGGTTGGGGGAAGCCTGCGGCTTCTGGAATTGTCCAGTTGCTCCTGCAAAACTGCCTGTTTTCAGAGTCATCAGAGGATTGTCCGGGAGGCCCAGGGGCCTGTCTTGGCAAATTGTCAGCTGCGTTTCCAAGGTCACCGCCCTGAATAGCCTGTCTCCCCGAAACACATTGTTTAGCTCCTTTTCAGATCTTCCCATTTGCCAGTGTGTCTCCAGCCCCTTCTTTCTTCAAGTGGAAGCAGAATAATAAGAGCTTTTATCCGTGGGGGTTGTGGTCCAGTCCTGGATGAAAGAGAACACTCAGCTCTACCTGGTTTGGCTGGGAGGGAAGAAATAGGATTCTGGAAGAGAAAAGTTTCCAGGTAGGAAGACACAGTGCTGTAAACACGTCAGTTTTCCTCCAAGTTAGTTTTGGGGATTGTCCATTCAAAAGCCCACCAGGATTTTTTTTAAACCTAATAGGCTGATTTTAGAAAATATAGTGCAAGAAAAGCCAAGCCAGTTTTCACAGGAACAGCAAACAGGCTTGCTCTAGCCTGCCAGCACTGCTTGTTCTAAAGCTCCGGGAAGTGGTGTCGGCTCAGGAAGAGATCGATTGAACAGAGAGGAGAGTCCAAGAACAGACCCGGTGTAGCTGGAGGAAAGAGATGATCAGATCAGTGGCAGAAGGATACACTAGTCAGTGAAAAGTGTGGAGACAATCAGCTACCCTTTTGCATATCATATAAAAAATAATTTTCAACTAACTTAAATACCCAGGAGCAAAGTCACAGCTATAAAAGAATTTGGAAGAGGAAAATAGGATAATGTTCTTCACTTTGGGGTGGAGCGCTTTTAAATAGGACACAGAAAAGAAAACATTGATAACGTGGGATTATCTGTGCTAAATCCTCTTAAGTACATTATTTTACTTAATCCTTAAACTCTAGAAGAATGGCATGATTATTATACCCATTCCCATTTTGCAGACGGGGCAGTAGGGCTTAGGGTAATTTGCATGGGGTCTGTTAAAAGATAAACTGAGGCATACTGAAATTTTTTAAGAGTTTATTGGAGCAAAAATGGATTCGAATTGGGCAGCATCCAACCTAGCAGATAGAAGGAGCTCCAAGGAGCCCCACAAAATGAAAGACTTTTATAGGCAGAAGGGAGCAAGAACAAGGAAGTTATAATAGGCAAAAAAAAACAAAAAACAAAAAAAAAAACCCAAACAGACAGATTGATTATTGCCAAGTGACTTTCCTTTAGGGGATGGCAGGGGTCCCTCAGGCGGATGACCTCCCTAGTGCCACTCAGGCGATCCCTGATGGACTGGTTTAAGATTCCATTTCTAGGAGAGCCGAAACTGTAACTAAGCCTCAGTTTGGTGACATGGGGCTTAGCATAGGACTCCATCTGGGGCTTGTTGCCTTGTTTTTAACAGGTCACATAGCTAGAATGTGGTAGAGTCAGGATTTGAACCCGGGCAGTCTGACTGAAGTCTCGGCCCTTAAACTAACCATGCTCGTTTTCTCCCTTCTGGCTTGTTTTGTGTGACAAACGGCATCGAAACAAAGCTAAATCATCTCACACGCATTAGGACAGAGTCTTCGTCCTTTTGGGCTGCTGTAACAAAATACCACAGACTGGCTGGCTTATAAACAGCAGAAATTTATTTCTGACGGTTCTGGAGGCTGGAAATCTGAGATGAGGGTGCCGGCAGGGTCAGGTGAGGGCCCTCTTCCGGGTGGAAGACTTCTCATTGTATCCTCACACACCAGAAGGGACTAGGGAGCTCTGTGGGGGGGGGTCCCAAAGATCCCAGGGGACGCAAATATTCAGACCGTAACAGATGACTATTGTCAGAAAAACCCAGAAAATAACAAGTGTTGGCAAGAATGTGGAGAAATTGGGACACTTGTGCACTGTTGGCAGAGACGTAAAATGGTGCAGCCACTATCGAAACAGTATGGTGGTTCCTCAAAAAGTTAAAAATAGAATTACCATACCCAAAGGAATTGAAAACAGAGTCTCAAAGAGATGTTTGTGCACCCGTGTGCATAGCAACGTTATTCAGAATAGCCAAAAGGTAGAAACAATCTAGGTACCCATGGACACGTGATGGATAAACAAAATGTGATATATACATACAATGGAATATTATTCAGACATTCAGACGGAGGAAATTCTGACACAAGCTACGACATGGATGAACTTCGAGGACATTATGCTGAGGGAAATAAGCCAATCACAAAAAGACAAATGCCTACGATTCCACTGAGCGGAGGTACCTAGAGCAGTCAAATCCATGAGACAATGGTAGTTACCAGAGGCTGGGGAGGGGGCCGGGAGGGTGTGTAATGGGTACAGTCTCAGTTTTGCAAGATGAAAAGAGTTCTGGAGATTGGTTGCACAACAATTTTAAAATCCTTAAGATTACCAAACTGTACACTTAAAAGTGGGCAAGATGGTAAATTTTATGTTATGTGTATTTTACCATAATTTAAAATAAAATAAACAAAGCTAAATGGTGATAGAAAATAGTCACTATATGAGTGTGCCGTGGACTGAATTGTGTCTCCCCTCAAATTCGTGTGTTGAAGCCCCACCCCCTCCATGGGACTGTAATTGGAGATAGGGTCTATTAGGAGGTAATTAAGGTTAAATGAGATCATAAGGGTGGGGCCTTAATAGGGTAGGATTAGGATGAGTGTCCTTATAAGAAGAGACACCTGTGAGCTCTCTCTTGCTCGCCCCTACACACGCACGTGGAAAGAAGAGGTTATGTGAGCACAGTGAGATGGTGGGTCCTACAAGCCGGGAAGAGGGCTCTCACCAGACCCCAACCCTGCTGGCACCCTGATCTGGGACATTTAGCCCCAGAACAGTGAGAAAACAGACTTCTGTTGTTCAAGCCACCCTTTTGTTATGGCTGACTAAGAGAGCCAGAATGTGTGTGTGTGACAAAAGATCAATAGCTACAATATGTAAATAGTTCCTACAAATTGATAAGAAATGAAAGACTCAATTTAGAAATTGTGCAAAGGATATAAATAAGCAATTCAAGGAAAAATAAACTCGAAAGGCCAAAGAATGAAGGAAATAATATTCAACCTCACTTCTGTCAAGGAAATGCAACTTAGGATAACATTTTGCCCACCCGTTTGGCAAAAGGGTAAAAGACTGTTATTTTTTATTGATAGTGAGGGATGGGGAATGGTCACGAACGCCTGTCCCCTGCTGAAGGCAGTGTAAATTGGTACGGCCATTTTGGGGAGCATTTTAACAGTAGTTACTCAGATTTAAAATGTACATCCCTTCAACCCAGGAAGTGCACTGTACCATCATCATTGTATCAGTGGAAGCCTGGAAACAAGCCAAATAGCCTTCAGTAGGGAAGTATAAAAGTGGTCATAATGAACACCAGATAAAAAGAAGGATGTGAGCCTCTGCGTACTGCTATGGAAGGACTACCAAAGCTTATCACTAAGTGAAAAAAAACAGGGTGTAGAACAGTACATAAAGTATAATCCTAATTGCGTAAAAATGGAAAGTGAAACTCCACATTATTTATACACCTCTGTGTGTGTGTGTGTGTGTGTGTGTGCGCGCGCGTGTGGGTCTTAAGGCCCAAGTGTGTCTGATATGCATACGAGAAACAGCAGAGAGGCTGTTGGTCTGCATGCCTCTCTGCACCACACAGTCCTGATCACTGTGGCTTTATCCTAAGTTCTGAAATTGGATAGTGTCGGTTCTCCAACTTCGTTCTTTTTCTGGTAGTATTCTTTATTGCTTTCCATCATTCGGCCTTTTAATGATCGAGTCTGTCTTTCCATGGGATTTTGAGCAGGCACAGGAGACACACATCTCCACTGAGTCTGCCATCTCAACCCAGCCCTCCTAACCATTTCATCGCAAAAGTATTTATGGGTGCCTAAAAATCACCATGCTGTGTTCTAGACGCTGAAGAGAGATGAAAAGAAATGTCTCTGCCCTTCAGGGAGCTCAGGGACCGGTTGGGAGGGTAAAACCACGGCAAGAACATCCGGAATGGAACCCTGGGTGCTTTAGAGCTGGAAGAAACTCACAGACCATGGCACCCAGGCTCCTCCCATTTTAGCGACGGGGAGGCTGAGGCCGAGGGAGGGAGGCGCGGTACAGATAAAAGCTCTGGTGCCGTAAGAAGGGAGAGACCCTGCCAGGGTGGGGGACCGGGAAGACTCGGAGGAGGAGGAGGCATTTGAAATGGGCTTTGGGGGATGGTAAGGAGGGAGAAAAACCTGGTGTATCGAGGGCCAAGTGTGTTTGGAGAAGGGCATGCGATGCCCTGATCCTAGGGCAGAAGTTCTTGGGGACAGAAGAGGGAAGTTGAGCCCTGACTGGTAAGGAGGAGGTGACGCCAGAGGGAGTTCAGCTTCTCCCCGAGTGCAAGCTTTCAAAGCTGGCTCTCCACCAGGCAGGCCTCGCCCTTCAAGGAGCCTCCTTACCGGCAGCTGGCAGGATTCGATTCTCTCCGTTCCTCTGCATTATTAAGCACCCACCGTGAGCTGGGCACGGTGCCAGGCGCCAGAGCCAGGACAGTGAGCCCAACAGACACAGCCCACAGCCTGGTGGAGAGTCAAAGATTAAACAAAAAACCATAGACAGCACCAGCTGCCGGGAGAGGCTGTGCAGCAGGGCGGCTGAGTGCACAGGCTCTGGAGCCAGACTGCCTGGTTTGGTGCCTGACTAGCGAGAGGCTTTGAGCAGTGTTACTTAACCTCTCTGAGCCTCAGTTTCTCCCTCTGTAAAATGGGGACGATAGCAGTCCCTATCTTACAAGGCTGTCAGAAGACTAAAGGCTGGGCACGGGACATGGGCTATGGAAATATTAGCTGCTTTAGAACTAGTAAT